TCCAATGCAATGCAACCACCCACTCCAAATATAGCTGGAGGGCGAGGACGTCATGCATCAAAATAGCCATGTGAACAAGCGGGTGGGTGGTGGTCTCTGGCTGAGCCACTCTTGGGAAGCAAGCATTTGGGGTCTGCAATGCTGGCCTGGTTGGGAAGGAAGCAAAGCAGCACAAGGGAGGAGAGGGGCAGGCAACCTTTTGGCAAGAATGGGGCGGGGAGGGGGGGAAAGAGGGAGAAAAATCACCCTCAGTTGAGGTTATACCCAAATACACACACACACACACACAAGCAGGCAGATTCTTCCCACTCCACTCCATGACTTCATGGTGGGAGAATTCAAAGACCTGGCCTAAGTTTCCATATATTTACAACACGGCAGAATTGAAAGACCTGGCCCTGTTAAGTCTGGGAAATCTGTCTGCAAAGGGATCTTGCAGCACCTTTGAGACTCACTGAAAGGAAGAAGCTGGGAGCACGAGCTTTTCCTAGACATCTCAGGAAGTCAGCTCAAGTCTAGCAAAGCTCACGCTCCCAGCTTCTTTCTTTCCCAGGGGTAGGCAACCTTTCCCCTTTAAGGGCCGAGGGACTTCAGCTCCCAGAAGCCTCAGCCATGTTGGCCAATAGCTCCTGGGATTCTGGGAGCTGAAGTCCCTTGGCCCTTAAAGGGGAAAGGTTGCCTACCCCTGTTTCAGTCAGTCTCAAAAGGTGCTGCAAGATCCCCTTTGCAGACCCATTTCCCAGGGTATGTACGCCTTTGAGTGCCCAGGCCTGTGAAGCTGCTTTAGCCAAAACCACACCATGGAGGACCAGAGGAGGGAATCGTGTGGCCCGCCAGTTGTTGCCGGACTGAAAACCCCAGCACTCCTTCCTCTTTGTTGGCTATGCTCCATGATCCCTCTGCAGACTCCATGACTTCATGCTCTCCTTCCTTCCTTCCTTCCTTCCCAGGCAGCTGAGATTACTCACCCGAAAGTGCGTCAGTGCAGTGACTACTCAGGGGCTGAGGCATTAATAAGTACCTCTGGTGCCAGGGAGGAGGGCACAGTCCACCCGTGGCCTCACTTTCTGCCCAGGCAGGCCCTTCCCGCCACTTAGTTAGTGAGGGAGCAGGCTCAGGTCTAGCAAAGCTCATGCTTCCAGCTTCTTTCTCTTCCAG